GCAAAATTTCTTGGTAAACCATTTCTTTGGTTATTGTGTAAACACCATATTGCCGAGATAAATACTACTTGAACGTTTCTTTTAAAAAGAAACGTCTAAAGCAAATAAGTTGCTAAGAGATTTTCAGAAGAAATGGATAACAGAATTTTATTCAAAAGTTTTAGCCAATGGTGATGTAGAAAAGTTCAAACGATTTCCTGAGTAAGACCTTATTGTTGACAGTGATCTCTGCAAACTCTATTTAAAGTCTAAAAAGTTTGTAACTAAAGCACTAGAACATGAATTCTTCCCCAGGTATGTAACAATAATATAAAATTAAATAAATTAGTTTTTCTATAAATAAACTTTTTTTTTTAAAGAATATTAAATAAAAATAAGAATATTTTAGGAATGATTATCTTGTAATGGTATCTTGTTGAATATTTGGCACATTAAATCTAAGAAATTAAACAATTTTCACATCTATTAGCATGGCGCCTGTCATAATGCAAGGTTTATGGCCTATGCAATATACTTTCTAATGACATATCATGTCATCGACAGTCATTGAATATCCAACTCCTGAAAAGAAACATATGGTCTCAAGGGTAGCATTTATTGTTGCTATTTATTATGGACCTGTCTTTCTTAAATCAGGCAAAGCAGAGCATGCCGTTCTAAATGACTTTAATGCATTAAAAATTGCTAAAACAATTAAAACCCAATGGGATGAAGTTGGAAACTCAGAAAGGCATGAGTAACCACATTTGGTATTTGTCTCCTAAAGTTGTCGTACTATCGTTAGGTGATCCTCATATGAAAGCAGATGTTAAAACACCAGGATTATGAGCTCGTTAACGAGTTCATAAAGTTGAATGAAACGTTTTATTTGAACTTTGGGTCTGATTTTTTTTAAATTTTCAAATTATGGGTAAACCATTTTTCTTATTTTTCTGTTATCAGTGACAGTTATAATTTTATTGCCACATGCAGGACATATTAACAAAGGTACAAATACATTCTTAAGTATAAAGAAGTTCATTAAAATAATCATTGTTGCTATTTAATTCACTATTTTTAACATTAATTCAATCCAGAGCAGCCTTGGCGAAGTGGTAGCACACTTGCCTCAGAAACAAAGAATCAGTCGTTCAAACCCCTAGCTTTGCAACATCGGTTTGAAGTGAGGCATGAACTTTCTAATAAATGCTCATCCACGGTGCTCTGTGATAAGACCGTAGGGGGTTCTTGGAGCACCTAAATACAATTTAAAAAAAAAAAAAATGTAAAACGAACTTTTTTCACTTATGCTAGGTAAAATATATTCTGGAGAAAGATTTGGATTTGTTTTTAATTATTTATTTACATGAAGCTTTTTTCTTTCTTTATCTTGAAAAATCTTGTTTGTTGTTTCTTTGTTTTCTTGCTTGGTATAAATTAAGAGATTTAAGAATAATAAAATATGATATTGTAGCACAACCAAAATATCAATTTGTTAAGACATCTACCAAAAAAAATGTGACTTGAGTGCATGACTAAAAACACCACAAATTTACATTATATGAGCTTTACAAGAGTTGTCATTTTCAAAATAATAAGGTCTTAATGCTTTGTTGCTATGCATTGTTTAGGCAGACAAGTAAACTAGCTTGTGTAAAATGTTATTTTTAACGGTTTTAGTTTATTGAAAACTGAAAGATTTATATATCAGCAGAAAGAGGATAAAATTCTACGTAAAAATAACTTGAAATTTTTTTTTTTATTTTTTAGATACAACATTTTTGAGCGCTTTTTTTAACTCCATTTTTTAAAAAAAGAGTTGCAACATCTAATGATTTGATGCACAAGCGCATTTACTTCTTTATTTTAACGGATTGTTGAACTATGGTTTAACTATGATTCATTGTTAAACTTGGTCAACAATCCAACGTTGTTGACCGAGTTTAACAATGAATGTTGACCGAGTTTAACGGATTGCTGAACTAATGAGATAGTTTCACTGAAGCGTTAGTACAACAAACAATTCGTTTAAATTTAAGAGTTAACGTGCTTAAAAAATTTGGATTGAAGTCTGTTAATATATCAAATTAAGGATTTATTATATAACATAGTTATAACATAGTAAATCCATAATTTGATAATATCAAAAGACTTTAATCCGTTTTAATCCAATTTTTATTCATTAATTTAAATCGGTTAACCCCTAATTTTTTGTGTGTGCAGAGCATAACTTATTGCATGTCCACGTGACAACTAAAATGTGGACTTTATAATATGCTGGTATAAATAACATTCATTGACTGTTTTTTGCAAACTTATACTCATAACTTTCGATATTGTTGTTGTTTCTTATAGCACTATATCGTTGTACCACTCAATATTTTGGTCATTAAAATCACCGATTAGTAACAGACCAATGGTCTTGTTTGCCAACAAGCATTTTCAAATAATATATTGAGCGTTTTAATTCATCATTTTTAGTAGTGTATTTTTGATTATTTCTGTTAAAATCGTTTTTAAGGTTGAAGGAAATGTTAATAATGACAATATTGATGTGTTAAGAATTTTAAGAAAAAATAAAAAATTGTTTGATTTTAGAACTCAATAATTTTCAAAAAAACCCAAAATAAAAGAATAAAACTTAAAAGTAACAAACGAAAAACAGTTTTTTACTTATTCTTGTGTTTGTATAAGAAAACTATAAAAGGTCTTAAAACCCACAAATATTAAAATTTTATCAATAAAAATTTTTTTTTTCTCTAATTATTAATTTTTTTTTGTAAATATTTATCAGTTTTCACATATACCTATTATTGACACAGTGAGAGAAAACAAGTTTGAATCTAAAAAAAAATCGCAAAAGGTTTGAACGTCTGCACCTGAATATGTTCGAAATAAAGCAAAACAATAGAAGTTTATTGCAGGATTAAGCTATAAGTGCATGTATTCAAAGCTACAAGTGTATGTATTCAAAGTTATAAGTGCATGTATTCAAAGTTACAAGTGTACGTATTCAAAGCTACAAGTGTATGTATTCAAAGCTACAAGTGTATGTATTCAAAGTTATAAGTGCATGTATTCAAAGTTACAAGTGTACGTATTCAAAGCTACAAGTGTATGTATTCAAAGCTACAAGTGTATGTATTCAAAGTTATAAGTGCATGTATTCAAAGTTACAAGTGTACGTATTCAAAGCTATAAGTGTATGTATTCAAAGCTACAAGTGTATGTATTCAAAGTTATAAGTGCATGTATTCAAAGTTACAAGTGTACGTATTCAAAGCTACAAGTGTATGTACTCAAAGCTACAAGTGTATGTATTCAAAGTTATAAGTGTACGTATTCAAAGTTACAAGTGTACGTATTCAAAGCTACAAGTGTATGTATTCAAAGCTACAAGTGTATGTATTCAAAGTTATAAGTGCATGTATTCAAAGTTACAAGTGTACGTATTCAAAGCTACAAGTGTATGTACTCAAAGCTATAAGTGTATGTATTCAAAGCTACAAGTGTATGTATTCAAAGTTATAAGTGTACGTATTCAAAGTTACAAGTGTACGTATTCAAAGCTATAAGTGTATGTATTCAAAGCTATAAGTGCATGTATTCAAAGTTATAAGAGCACGTATTCAAAGTTATAAGTGCATAAATAAAAAATTATAAAATTACTATAATTTTTTTCTTATTTTTAAAAAAATATTTATCAAGAAAACGATAAAAATATACTTCAATGATTAAATTATTTTATTAAATAAATTCTTCTCTTCTCGTTGCTTTTACTAACCATCTTCTCATGTTTGAATAAAATCCAGTGCATTTTTGATCATAGTCATTATTTTAAGATAAAATAGAATCAATTATTTGTTCAACTCTAAGATTTGGAAAATAATTTTTAACAGATTTAAATTTTGATTTTACTATTGAAAAAAATTTTCAATAGGATTTAATTTAGGGCTATAAGGTACTAAAAATTTATGTTATATTTTTTTATATTGTAAAACGGCCGTCGCTTTATGATATCGTACATTATCCATAATAAGTATCTTACTTGGGTTTGAGGCAAAGAAAGGCACAAGATGAACACGAATAAATTCAATAGAAGTATCTGCATTGAAAGCCCCATTCTTATACTTAAAACATTCAATACCCTTCGTTGATATAAGGTACGCAAGACTAAAATGTTGTCCTTTATTTGCTTAAACTATTGTATAAGCTTTGGTGCCTTTTGGTGAATATCCTTACGAACGAACAGTGTTTTGAACAGTTGTTAAAACTTGTTTCGTCTAAAAACACTAAGTTTTCACCTAAAGTTTTACTTAATTCATTAGCACAAATTGCTCTTTCATTAATTCTTTAAATCGCGTTGCGTTCATGTGGTATCATTGAGAGTCTTTTTCTTGTTAAATTTAATTTTTTTAACTTTCTTGAAAAAAGGTTGCGATATTTTTTGATTGTGTTGGTTTTAAATGGTTATTTGAATCTCTTTTTGTATTTGTGCATTATTACAAACGACACTATTAAAAATCGTTTGTTCAACATTCATATTTAATGGATTTTTGGATTTTATAAGTTCTCTTCCTTTTTTCAGTTGATGAAATAAATATAACACCATAGTCAGTTTCTTTTATTATACGCCCAACCGAATTGCTATTTAAACCCGCTGCTTGAAAAATTTCTTTAATCGAATATTTTTCTGAATTTTCCATTAAAATAATTAAATTTCGAGTTTCATTTGTTATTTTTTTTTTTTAGTTTTTCGTTCCATATTAATTAATATCAGGGTAAAAGTGAAAATATATTTATACACTTATAACTTTGAATACGTGCACTTATAGCTTTGAATTCGTGCACCTATAACTTTGAATAACCCTGTAATTTAAGGCCATCATAATGATATATATTTATTTTCGCCGCCACGAGTTTTGAAAGAAATATAAGTACAATTACTTTTGTTCTTTACTCAAATCTCCAAATTTTTAACTTAGTACTCAAACTTAAGCTCAACCATAAGAAATACTAAATTTAAACCCTGGGTTTATGATTTTTCCTCGGTATCAAAAATTCGGTTAACTTTACCATGTGTGACTATTCCATTAGCTTTCTTCAATCGCCTTATTTTTATTAGCGTTTCGTTTCTTCTGTTCCAGCGCAGCAATAATTTGCATTGTATTAGTATAGCTCAAGCGTCTTTCGGTATAATAAAGCCTATAAAAATACAACAGGAAATTAAATATATAATTTTAAATTTATTTAGTGTTTATTTATCAAGTTATTAATTTGAAAAACAACCAAAAACAAGATCTCTTTGTTAAGTTTGGTTAGGCTTACAAACAGTAAAGAACAGCTTTTATCGTCATCAATTGTCAATCAACATGCATTCTGTACTCGATAATTTATCTGCACTCATGTATGCATGTATGTAAGTATATCTTTTATTACACTTTTCGCCATTAATCCAGTGACGGATCCAGAAAGGGGGAGGGAATGGCGATATGCATTCCTTCCCACCAGAATCTAAAAGTGCTAAAATATCTTAAAAATGGAGGATTTTTTTTTGTTTAATATTTAGGAGACGCAAATGTGATTCAAAATACAAAAATATTTCAACATTCCCCCACCAAAAATTCCTGGATCCGTCACTGCTTCCTTCATTTGCTTTGATAGTTTTTTTTTTCTTTTAAATATATTTAATTAGTATCATTCTTTATTTATTGTTGTTAAACCTCTCAACTATTTGAATCCGAAAACGAACCTAACGTAACTGCGGCGTTATGCTATATTAGTTAAATTAGTTAATGAAAACTAAAATTTCGCAATAACATTTCGTAATCCATCACTTGAGTTAATAGCGATTGTCACCAGCATAAATTGCTCATAAATAGGTAGATAAAACTGAAAAAACCAACTTATAAAAACTGAATTTTTTTTTACAATGTAAATGCATTAAAGACCTCAAAAAAAAAAAAAAAAAAAAAAAAAAAAAATATTGTTTGAAAAAATTTACAATGAAAGCTTGTAAAAAAACGATACAAATTTTCACGTAGGAAAAAATGTTGAACTTTTGTGATATAGATAAAATACTTAATTTAAGATACCAAACATATATTTATTGATACAATTTAATAGAAAAAAGATATTAAAAAAGTTAATTTTTTATCAAATAAGTTAAAGAATCAGTTATCAACCAGTTATTCATATCGTCACGGTCATTTTACATTACGTTAAAACGAACAAAAATAACTTTTTTTTTTTTTTTTTTTTCATTTTACTTCACCTCCTCAAGGCCGAGAAGGCCACTACAGACGAGGAGGCTACTTGGTTTAGGATAATAAAACCTAGCAAATAGTTTTTTTTATTAAAACTATTTTTAAATAATTAAAATTAGCAAATAGGTTTTTTATATTTTTTTATTGTGATATCAGAAAAAAAATATATCAAGTTTTTTTTAAGTTTTTTATTTCTTTCTTATAAAATGAAAAAATGACTAAGGCGATTGTGAAATGATCGTGACGATATGGACTGTATTAAGTCAGCACTTTTTAAATATTGCAAAAAATTAGGTAACTAAATTAGTTATAGATTAATTTTAAAAACACCTCCAAGATTTACTCAAATACTCCTAATAAAACCTTGTTACTCATATTAGATTATATTAAAAACCTGAGTACCAACACTTAAAAAAATAATTTTTTAAATAAGATTATAATCTGCTGCGTTTAACAATGTTTGTGTTGAAAAGAAATAACTTCTTTGAGAAAAAAAACATTACGGATTGTAATGTTTTTTAATAAATTTTAATAAATATTAAAGCCAAATAGTCAATCATACAGCAATACACCTAATATTGTTGTAGGTAAGAAATCCTTGAACAATTATAATACTAACATTGTATGAAGTTGGGTTTGATAGATCAAACTGGCCAAAATGTTTATACTCAGATAACAGTTGAGAAAGAAAATATAAATCTTTTATAAGCTTGTATATTCCTTTCTTGTTTTGTTACAATCCAGTTGTCTAAATACATAAACGGCTCATCCTCGACTCCATATTGCAGACCAATCAAAAAAAAAAGTTTTATACAAGAGTATCATCGTCATTTTGATAATTTTACGCAAAAAAATAATAATAATAATTTATACAAGAGCATCATTTAATAAGTTATCAATTGTAAATCATCACCTCACTTTCAAACTGACTCTTCACTTTTTAGAGAACATTTGATTAGTATGTAAAACTATATAATTAATATCAAAAAGCCAAATCACATAAAAAGCATTTTATTGGAAGAGATTATCAATACCTATAGATACGCTCAACAAAAAATCAAGAACTGACTACTTGGTACCCAGCTTGGATACTACGTTGGGCCAACGCTGAAAGAACGACGAAAGCGTTAGTTCAACGTAGTGTGCTAGCTGCGAAGCTAAGGACACGTGAGTTATTTATCTAAAATGAATTAAAACTTAACTAAATGAACTATTAACCTTAAGCAAATAGGGTGGAATGCAAGAAGCGAACTTGAGTTAAGCTCGACTTTACATTGCAACCAATAACTTTACATTGCATCCAATAGCGACAGAGTATGGATTTTCCCCTCAAAAAATACACCACCCTATTGGTTACAAAGTAAAGTTCAAGTCGAACTTGACTCAAGTTTGCTTCTTGCATTCCACCCTTCTAAGGTAGAAAAATATACCATTAAAGTAGAAAATTATACTTTTAACGTAGAAAACTGACAAATAATAATTTTTTATCTTAAAAATCTTACCTAAAAAAATCTAAAAAAAAAAAAATGACAAGTCATTATTTTTAATATAATTGTCTACCTTAATAGGTAGAAAATTATACCTTAAAAGGGTATATAACATATCATACTCTAAAGTATAAAATTCGATCTTTATTTTTTAAAGTGTAGTTTTACAAAAAGTTGAATAAGACCAAGAATTTATAGCAATAATAAAAATTAGTAACTCGTTATGTGTGAACACAAAACAGATTTTAAATTGTCTAAAGCATTAGTAGCAGCCTATTCTAATAATCTAAAATAAAAAAATAAGAACATTTAATAAATAAAAAGAAAAATAAAACACTCAGCAAATATCAACCACAATCCTACTCAATCCACGTGACTGTTTTTTACAGTTGACATTAATTAGTATACTTTTTGAAAAAAACATGCAGTAACATGTAGACCTTCTTTCTTTTCATGTTTTTTTGGTGTTACCATGATATATCACCAGTGACAAGATTTTTCAGAAACAAAGCTTGCTCATTTTGATAAAATAAAATGGTAAAAATGTGGATACATTTGGCTTTGTTGTTGCCTGGGAGTTTGTAAGAACCCATGCAGCTAACTTCCACACTTTTCCCAGTTTTTTCAACAAGTAATCAACAAATATTTGTGGAGAGATTGAAATTAAAATTGTGGATTATTAAATGGACTACCATCCGTGTTGTAAGACTTTGGTCTCTTTCTACAACTGCTAGAAGGGTCTGATCATCATAACCAAATAGCCGTCCTCTCCCTATATCATCTGCAAAGTTTGTATCTCTTTTAAAAAAAAGTTGAATAGCTTAACTCATTTTTAATTGACCCTTCTGATTGCATACCACTACATTAACATAGTGTTATAAAAGCTAATAAATCAGAAAAAAATTATTTAACGCAACCATTATTAGTTTCTCATTAAAAAATCCTCTATGTCTGGCCTTCTCTACTTTGATCAAACGCCTATACTTTATACAATCAGTTGTTTTTAAATCTATACAGTCAACCTAGAACAAAAACAAAACAAGGTTATTAAACTCTTCATCAATACCAAACTTGAGCCCAATAACATTGTCCTAAACAGTCCTTGCAGCCAAAGCATATTTACAACATTTAGAAACAAAAGGTCTACTAATTGCCAAAAAGATTCTCACCAAAAGCTTACAGAAGATAAGTAGATAATATAAAATTATTAGGTAAACAAAAACCTACAGCAAAAAAACAAATGAAAAAATTAAAAAAAAAACATAACTTGTACTATTAATTCAAAATCCACCAAAAGTCTGCTATCAATATGCAAATAAAAACCAAATCAAATATCAATTAAAAATAATTATAGGAGTTTTTAAACGTAGTGCCATTAAAATTTGCTTAATATTAAAAATTCTTATATACAAAAATTAATGCTAGATAAAAATTTGCCATGATAAATCTAAACTCCAAACAAATGTTAAATGAATTGGTGAATGTTAAAAGGGCGAAAGTCCAATAGTGTAAAATTTCGTAGTAAATTTTTGTTAATGGTTCAATAATTTTTTTTTAAGGTGAAAAACATAATCCTCTTCGAAAAAAAAAAAAAAAAATTAAATCATAAACAAAAATTACTATGGGGGAAAATGCAGTTTTTTTTAAGTTTCCCTGAAAGTTTTAATAGTTGGACTTCCGCCCTTTTAACATTTACCAATTCAAATATTAAAATTATTAAAAACAATCAACAGCATTACGCAGCGTTTAACATATATATTGATATGATAGTCAATGTAATCTTAATTTTTACCTTTTTTTAAAATTAATAATTAATCTAAAATAAAAAACTTTACAACATGAAATATAATGAAAAATCTCACCAAACCATCTGTTATAATCTCACTAAAGTTAAATTCAGGTCAGATTATCCTGCTAATGGTAAATGCAGGGTTGGCAAAAACCCGGGTTTTTTTAAAAAAAACCCGGCCCAGTGGGTTTTTTTGGGTTTTATTGGGTAAATTTGGGTTTTTTTGGGTTTAATTTTTATTGTCCCTGTAAAACATTTGTGTGTGTTTTTGTTTAATTATATTGAAAATTAGTTTCATTTTCTACTTTAACTTTATTTAAAATATATTTTATATATTGTTGTTTAATTATATATAACAAGAATTTTTCAAAATATTTTGAAAAAGATTTTTAAATATAATTAAAAACTGTAATAGAAAAAAAAAATTTCACGCTTAATCTATATGTATTGATTTACTTTAAATTTAAAAGTATTACTCTATATAATTAAAAATGTCAATGAGAAAATGGGAAAAAGAAGGCTAGAGAATGGGAGGTAGTGACTGAAGTTTCAATTAGACTTTGAACTTGAAATTCAAATGAACAAACTTGTTCCTCTGTGCAGCGGCCTTGTTTAGATTCGTGCCCAGGAGTTAAAGAGTTGAGAGAGGATTGTAACCACAATAAGGTAGCCTCCTCAACTGTTGTGTTGGCTTCTCTGGTCACTACTCATTTAAATTCAACTTGGGAGGTGAATAACATAAAGTAATAAAAATCTCAATCGATAAAAATATTTGAATAAAAATTGTAATAATGTATTTCCAAATAATGATTCAAATAATAGTAAACCTGCTCTGATAGCTATTATTGTTGGTTATAATAGTTAATAATAATAGTTAATAATAATTTAGTTAATAATAATAGTTAATAATTATTTTAGTTAATAATATTATAGTTATAATGTTAAAGTTGGTTATAATAGTTAATAAACTTATTAAATATTTTTAAAAAAACCCAATAAAACCCAGATTTTCCAGGGTTTTATTAGGTTTTTTTAGGCGGGTTTTTTGGGGTTTTATTGGGCAGGTTTTTTTGGGCGGGTTTTTAATGCCAACCCTGGTAACATGTAACCCAGTACAACCTGCTTCATGTCCTGCTACCTTATAGGATGCTTTTTTTTGGCAAAGGCTAGGTAAAGCTAACTCTGACTTAAAACACCCCCTGCCTTTGGACTCTTGGTTGAGTAAAGACTAGAGATGGTGATAAAAATACTCATCTTAGGCAGACATTTAATGCATCTGGTTGCTGTCTTGTAGAAGGCCTCCTAGGCAATGGCCTAGGGGGTAAAATTAGATTCTATCTATTGACCAGCCTTTCACCCTTTCTTTATGCATTAGGCTGGCATAGATGTATTTATATTACTTTGTTTCCAATTTAGGATGTTGGATCTTCTTGACTCAATGGATGGGTTTTGCTTGTGTATCTGTTTTTATGACTAGGCAAATCATTCTATTATCTCCTAATAAAGGTGCAACTCTATTATTCTGTTTTATGGTTCTGAGGCCGGCTGTTAATCAAGTTTTCTGAACTCTAAGGTAGCCCTCAGAGAGGCTGATTCCATCAACAGCTGTAAGGTATAAGAGTACTAACAGTGCCATGTTGTGCATAGTTGGTGTCCCTGTTTGTATGTTTTGTGTGCGTTGTAGAGGCCGCATTTGGAGCCCATTATTACGGCTTGGGGTTTATTAAAAGTAATGAGGCAAATGGTTGGATTATTAAATAGTGTATCGAGCATTATCTGTGCTTTAAATCAAGTTCTTTAACAAATTTAAAAATGATTAAAAGACCAAAAACTATAAAACATAAAAATATCAAAAACTATAAAATATAAAAATACCAAAAACTATAAAAAATAAAAAAACCATTGCCATGGTCTTTAAAGTAATTTTCTTCTGTGGAGTTTTATCTCTTGCAAAGTTCACCAGACCTACTCGCTCTTTGTGAGACTAATTTGAGTTCAGCTGTCTCATCTTGTGATCTTAGTGTTGACTGTTATCATCCAGTCATGCTTGGTCTGGGCATTTACATTTGTAAAAATTCACCCATTTGTCAGGAAACTAGGTTTGAATCCATAGACTATTCTTTTATGTGCTTTCGTTTAGCACCACTTTGCTCTATTGCCTTTCTCTTTGTTTTATATAGCTCTCCTTCATCTCAAGACTGCACTCTTTTGGATGTTATTTCTGATTGAATTGACCAAGCCCTTTCTCTTTATACTTCAGCCAATGTCGTTGTTGTTGGTGACTTTGATGCTCATAACACTGAATGGCTTTAGTGTCAGTGACTTTGCAGGTATTAAGGCCCACAACTTTTGCCTTTTTCAATCTCTAACACAAATGGTCAACTTTCCAACTCACTTTCCAGACAATTCAAATCATTTACCTTCTCTACTCGGCTTATGTCTTGTTTATGATCTTTGTCAGCGCTCAGTTTCTCCACATTCACCCTTAGGTACTTCTGATCACAATGTGATCTCTCTAAAATTATTATCTTATTCTTCATCATCAAAATTCCCTTATCATTATATATTTTACAAATACTTTGAAGCTGACTGGAACTCTTTCCATGATTTTCTTTGTGATGGCCGTTGGGTAGATGTGCTTCTTACATAACTTCTTAGATTCAGGCTGGCATGGAACCTTTTATTCCCTCTTGACAATTCAAAGTCAAGCCTCACTCTTCTCCATGGTTTTTCTCTGCAATTTCCAATCATAACCATTACTTTCATATCTATCAGCAAAACAATTCTCCAGAAAACAGACCTCTATTTACTAAAATGCCCCAAAATCTACAGTCATAGATATTATAAATAAGTTTAAGACTACTCAAATCTTCGAAAGAAAACCTGGAAGTGGAAGAAATAAAACTTTCCATAAATCCAAAAAGGTAAAGTCGGTTTTATGTTCAATAGCAAAAAATCCAAACCAGTCACAGCGAGACCTAGCAAGAAAATTCAAGATTTTGCATTCTTATATCAAAAAAGTACATAAAAATTTAACATAATTAGACCTGCTATTGCAGCCAACCTCCAACCAATCTTCAAAATGTTGCTATCTTTCTCTTTTCTATAAATACTATAATGAGCACTGCTCTAAAGAGCTTGCATCTCTTGTGCTAACTCATTCTCATGTTACTCGTCATTCAATTAAGTCTCATCCTTTTACTGTGACTGTTGCTAAGTGCTCTAAAAATTCTTATTCATTTAGTTTTTTTCCTCAAACATCTGTTCTTTGGAATTCACTCCCTTCATCTAATTTAATATTCATATAATTTACAATCTTTTAAGCCATCTGTTAATCGTTATCTTGCTCTATAAACTTCATCTTTTCTCTTCCAGTAACTTTCAACTCTATTAGTGGTTACTTGTAGCCTTCTAGAAGTGAAGATAGTGAAAAAAAAAAAATATATAAATAAAAAATAACCTGTAATAATGATAACTCACACTAAATCGATTGTAACCACAATTTATTATATAAATTATAATAATTATATATAACCTAATGAAATATTGAATATAAAACATACTTCAATACTTCTCAACTGTAACAATAACATAAAATTTCCATAATTTTAATGAAGGTTTAAAAAAAATATTAAAAAAGTAACAATATTAATTGTTAATTTTTTATTTTACATTGTTTTGTAATTTTTAATAATTATAATATATTTTCTCTTAGTTTATAAATAAGGTCAGATAAATGTTTACTAAATTATTGCAGGAACTGCCATATTTAAACTGTGCAAACTAATGTCTTTTGGTAACTGGTTTAGCTAATTTTCTGATTCAGAGAAAAATATAGTATGCAATGGTTGCTTTTGCTTTGTACTTAAATAACAGCATATATTAAATTTTATTTAAAATACATAAATATAATTAATTATTAATTGAATTCAATATTTAGTACAAGCAAATGCAATGATATTGAATTCAATATTTAGTACAAGCAAATGCAATGATATTTATTTAACAATAAAATAGTAAAAAAATTAGAATTCAGAATCGATTTAATCTCAAAAAAATATATATATATAGACAATAAAAATATTAAACAACAAAACCCAATTTAGTATATAATTATTCTCACAAATATATTCAACAGTAAAAGTAAAGAACTCAGTATTTAAATATTTTAAAAATATTTAAAAGTAGAATTTAATAACTCAGTATTTATATATTTTCAAAATGTCTAACAGATATATTAAGTAAAGCTTAATATATCAGTATTTTAATATTTTCAGAATATTCAACAGTAGAACTTAATAATTCAGTATTTAAATATTTTCAAAATATTCAATAGAACTAAGAATATCTATATGAATTACTAAGAGAATTTATTTAGATACTCTTAGTATTCAACACTATAAGACGGGACAATTAAGATAAGACAATCAAGTCAAAACGATCAAGACAAGATAATCAAGTCAAAACAATCAAGACGAGATAATCAAGATGAGACCATCATAGAATGTAAAAATGCAAATGCCAAACTTTTTTTATATAATTAATTTTTTATTGTGTAAAGCTTGTTACACATTTAAAATTAAAAAAAAAAAAAACAATTAAACAATTAATTTTTGATTAATATGTATACATAATATCTTTTAATATTATATAAAAGCATTAAAAATGTTAATAAATTTTTTTATAAAATTAAAGAACATATTTTTACCATGATAGTGCGGAAATAACTGCCCAAGAACCAATGGCTAAATCACATGAGCGTTTAACATTTTCTAAAATTAATAATATTGTTGAATGAGTTTCTTACAGAAATATTTTACATGAACAATAATAACACTAAAACCTTTTGTGGTAATCTTTATCTAAGAAAATAAAATTCTAGGGAGAACTTATCATATGCCTTCCTCCTCTTTTTTAGAAAAAAGTTAACTGCTAACTGCAGGAAGATAACTAGTTCTCAAAATCTTGTTTACACTTTTTAGTACAAATCTGTTCAAAATGGGTAGACAACATACAACACTAAAAGCGAATATCTATCATCATTTTTATTCAACTTGTTTTTCCGCGCAGCGGCTTTGCTCTTCAAGGTTTATGTTTTGGAGTTATAGAGTTGAGAGAGGGTTGAAACCACAAATAAGTAGCCTCCTAAGTAATCTTGTAATAAGTAGTCTGTAGTGGCCTTCTCAGCCTTGAGAAGGTGAATTAACAAAAAAACAAAAAAACAAACACCAGTGCACAGTGGGAAAAAATTGTGTTTTTTTCACTGAATTTTTTTTTTGTTTTGTTTAATTAGATTTGCTATATTTAAGATATAAAATGCATAAATAAAGCAGAATATGAAATTCATTGAAACGTTTTGAAACAGTTTAAGAGATATTTATGTTTATTTAACTAAATATTTTCTTTAATAAAACAACAACACTGTGCTTGTAATAAATTTCTTTATAATTTTTAAGTTATTCAGATAAAAATAAAATTCCTCTTAAGAGAAAGAAAGGAGTTATTAATGCAGACAGTTATAAACGGAATGTAATTAAAAAGTTGAAATGACAATGCAAAATGAGCCGCATTAGCAGAGCCAATGATCCACAAAGGGAAGGCTAAAAGATTTTACAACAAAGTAAAAAATACCACAGAAGAATTAAAAAAAGACCCTAAACAAGTTAGATTACATGTAGATTTTATGGCTAATGTCACATGTCTCAGGAATTCACAATATTGGTTCCCAAAAAATGACTGTTTTTATATATCATAAAGAGAGAGGTAAAAAAAGGTTCTGTAGAAGTATGTTATATGCACATTTTATGTGGCACATAAAAAACAAAATATTAGATTAGTTAAAACTTTGCACTTTTTTGGCAACAACTTGGTGACATTAAATAGACAGTTAAAACAAGAACCACATTCTTATTAGACTTGTGATGGCTCTTTGTGAAACTAAGAGATTTAACAAAATAAATTTGGTGTTTCTGACAAGAGACATTCGTTTACGCTTAGAATTTAATACGTTTAATACGTTACGTTTAGAATTTAATATAATTTGAATAATGATCATAATTTTAGAATTATATGGATTTCTCCTTATAATTCCAAAATTACTAGACAAAAGTAGAGAGCTATTAAAAAGATGAAGTAATTGATCTGATTAACAGTTCCTCATAAATTTCTGGAAGGTTTGCTGTAAAGAAAATGTCATTTGAAGATTTTATTGACTATCAGGAACATCTTAAGCATAGCCTTTTTTAGAAAAATGTAGCAAAACTTAATAAAATACTGTGAGGTGTCACTTTCTTTTGATGAACCAGAGGAAATTGAATGCAGTATGCATATCGCTGGTTTGATAAGTGACATTTTTTGTTTTTGAAACATTATGGGGGACTTTGAACTATTAACTAGTAAAACCTACTCAGCTGTATTACTCATCAATCACTCAAAAATTGTGGATATAAAAAAAACTTTATTTATATTCTGGAAGAAAAGCTTCAATTTTAGAATGAAATAACTTCAAGGCCCAAAGAATAGTAGGGAGGGGGGTAATAACATTTGTGTCCATTCAAGAAGATCAATCAACTGAATAAATAAAGTTCTTGAGTAGTGCTGTGCATCATGTTATTAAAACAGCAAAATAGTATTGTATTAATACTTTTAGATAAAACACTTTTTAAGAGTAAAATAAATAAAGTAGATATTTTTAATTTTTAAACCTCATTTACTACAAAAAGGGATCAAGTTCATGTTTAAAAAATAATTCTACACATACAACGTTTATATCTTTTAGACTTGTACTAACCATTGGATAGCTAGAACTGTCTTTCTGCAGTTTAAGTATTAAACCAAGAATAAATTTAATTTTCAATATATTACTATTTCTTTTTAATACTAAATATTAGAATATTGATACTATTTTATATAGCATTATTATTTATAGCATAATTATATTATAGCATTATTATATATTACATATAGCATAGTTTAATGCTTTTTTAAAAAACAACAAGAACGCAAATTAAAAGAATAGAATGTTTTTAAAAACATTCTAAATATTTTTATTTTATTTAAAAAAAAAACAAAAAAAACATTCAGAATGTTTAACTTTGATCACTTTTTTACTGTATAACATGAGTGGACTGTTGCTACATCACCTATCTTATAGCCTGATGCTACAAGGGAGTGTTGCTACATCGACTATCTTATAGACTGTTGCTACAAGGGAGTGTTGCTACATCGATTTGAACAAAATTTGAGCTAATGTTAAGATGGTGGTTATCTTAATAATTGGCTTTACTAAGTTGCTTTTTCTCTATTTGACTAATTCAGCTAGCATGTATAGTTGCATTTTAACCAAAAGTTTTCTGACTCTAAGTTTGCTAATAAGCGTTGCCATATTCATTTTCATAGATTTTCATTTCCATAACAGTTTTTAAGTCAAGTTTACCAACCAAAAGGTCAATGACTTCATAAACCTTTTGTCTGAAATAATCAGAAATATCTGTGAAAATTTTACATCCTGAGCCATATCATTTTGGTGGTTTTTAAGTCATTGGAATTAACAGCTCACTGACTTCCAAATCATCAACTTCATATTTCACTTTGTTGTAGAACTGATCAAATGATGTATCTCTTTTCTACTAATACTATGCTCAAAGGAGCTATCATCTCTAGCTCCATCAACTAAAACTCATTCTTATTTGACTTGTCATTTAGTAAAGCCTTATTTTTTTACTGTATCTGTCACTACATGCTCTAAAAACTTTAAATCTCCTAGTTTATTTCCCTGTACTTCAACCCTTTAGAACTCTCTCTCCTATCTTCATGTTTTCCTGACTCATTCAATCTACAACTTTTTCAAGTCTTCTGTCAACCGCCTCCTTGCTCTTTAACTATCCTTTTTTTCTCCTTTTCTTTTTTTTTTTAACTCCCAACTTAATAGTGGTTGCAGCATTGTTGGGAGTGAATCAGAATATTAAAAAAAAAGCGGTTGCGATATTCCCCTTTTGACTCAGAATCATTTGATACTAATTCTCCAATTTCTGCCATTACATTTATAACAGACATGTAATTAGTTTTTTCTAACAATCTTTCAAATTCACTAAAACAAACAGTCCTGCGAGTAAAACAAAGTGGCTTTAAGTTCTTCAAGGGAATTTTTTTATCATTATCAGACTAAATCTGCTGCCTGATTCTATCAAAGATATTAAGTTTCTTAGGTAAAATCTTTAGATACAATTACAAGTGACAGACTATCCTGGACCAAAGTGTTTGCCTGATCAAGTCTTGCAAACACAAGTTCAAACAATGTGCAAAGTAATGGACAAAGATTGCTGCATTGCTTCCTTCTTACAATTGAGCAGCTAGTCCATGTAAAAATTGTTCCAGTTCATATAGACCAAAGAAGTCCTTGTGCACATCAAAGTCTTCATCAACCCAACATATACAAATCGATAACTGTTTTTTTTGAAATGTCCCTAGACTCATCCCCTATAATGGCAAAGCAACCTTAAGATCACCACTTAACCAAAAAGTTCTATACAATCATTTATTATTAGTGGGGGACAAGTAGTATTCACTCTGGAACCAATTTTGTAGCTCTGATATATCTTGTGATCTCAGTAACATCAATTGAAAGCTGACTTGTTACAGATTTTGCCTTTATATTTATAAGCTCGTACTTTTTTAAGGCCTCACATATATATGTATATATTAGGGCTGTACCGGATTTCGGCTCCGGCTCCTGCTCTGGCCGAAATCTGGCCATTTTTACAAATCCGGCCCAAATCCGGCTCCGGCAAAAATTTAGCAAATCCGGCATAATTTTAGCCGGAGTTTTGAATTTTGTCAAATATTTATTACATTTTTTTTGCCCGTGTTTACATGTATACCTAATATTTTATTTATAAAAATCAATTTTTTTTGTAATTCTATATTTTATGAACCTCATATTTGTTTTGGTATTTGTATTTATATTTCTTTATAATTTAATAAGCTAAGTCTAATTTAAAACAACAACGCAACAAAAAATTCTGAAGGGAAGAGACACGATATTCTAGAATGATGCAGGTATAAAGACTATGATGTCAACCCTAATCAAGTGATTGGATGAGCGTTTTAAAAGCATTGAAAAGAGAAACCTCTTTATATACTGACGAGGCTGGTTGACTCACAATTTAAAACTAAATTCTCCTCATTACAGGCAACACTGACAGCTGAAAAAACAAGATTGAAGTCAATCTGAGCATGCTGAACAGAAGATTGACAAAACTGAAGAAAATCCACCAAAATAAGCCAGGCTTAATAATTTTTTTACATCATCATCATCATTACTCTGGCAATTTATTGATAAAATTATTCAGTCTACGTCCGCTGGTGGCAGGGCACATAAACAACAATTACTAAAAGGCATTGAAACTCAGCTAAGGAAATATCCGAAAGAACCAGAAATAAATAGACACAATGATCCACTACAGTGGCGGAGTGACAAAATCCCGGAAAAAAAGTTCAATAGAATTACTATAAACTTTTAAAACATATGGCCTATAGAATTTCTTTAGAATTTCTATTAATTTATATATAGAAATTGCTATAAAACGCTTTAAATAACAACAATGAAGTTTAACAGAAAACAGCAGTCACTTGGTATTCTGAATAGTCCACATTGTTGACTATGCTCAAAACCAATTAGGGATGTACAGGATTTTGGCTCCTGTAGTTTTGTTTTGAAATCTGGCTCCGATTCCGGCCGGATCTGTCAGTAGAAATCCGGCAAATCCGGCTC